CTACAGAAGATTAGAATTAGATTAGATATGATTGTGTTAAGCATATGAAAATTAGAAACTACACTCATAATCTTACTAATCTATAGACAATGGCTATTAAATGTTGGGATATTTATTTTTAAATTTTTTTTCTAGACATTCTTTTTTCCTTTGAGATCTGAGCATATATATTTTATCTTTTATGTAAATGTAACATAACTGTTTCCCACTGCTGATACAGATGTTGTATAAATATTTAGGATGGCTCCATAATATTTCATGATTCCCATATTAAATAATAATTCTTGTTTCCCATTAATGGCAAATATTTTATAGTTAGAGCTTTATATACAGCTTAGTATACATGTAAATCAGTTTACTTTGTTTTCTTCTTCTTAAGAGCCCAAGAGTGTTTTTCGTACTGGGTGGATTCATACCAGTTCTATCTGGAAGAAGCCTGGGCTGGAGGAAGCAATGGAAAGTGCCTGTGCAATGCGAGATTCATTTCTTGGAAGCATCCCTGGCAAAAATGCAGCTGAGTACAAGGTTATCATTGTGATAGAACCTGGACTGCTTTTTGAGATAATAGAGGTATGCAGCAATATGTACCTTCTGAAAGGAGCTTAGTATTGTACAGCTTCACCCGAAATTTGTTTTTGAGCCAGGATCTCACTCTCACTCATGCTGGAGTGCAGCAGCATGATCACAGCTCATGGCATCCTCAGTCTCTGAAGTTCAGATGATCCTTCCATTTTACCCTCCTGGATTACAAGTGCACGTCCCCAAACCCGGCTAATTTTTTTTTTTTTTTGTAGAGACAAAGTCTCACTATGTTGCTCAAGCTGGTCTTGAACCCTTGGCCTCAAGTAATCTTCCCACTTCAACTTCCCAAAGTGCTGGGAGGCTCCCAAAGTGTGGTGAGCCACCACACCCAGACTGAAAATAATTTTTTTTTTACATTTAGAAATTGCATTTCTATCTTCTAAACCTGATATTATCTCTGCTTTGCTTCCTACTTGTCTTTGTCCTTTTCTTTTTCTTGTAAAACATGTATTCTGCACACGTAACATGTTTATGTTACTTTGTAGGGACAAGAAAGGTGTAATAAAGTTCTTTTGTGATATGAAAGCCGTCAGGGCTGTTTAGAAGATAGATGACATATCGATGCAGTAGTCTTAGAATACATGAAAACTGGGAGTTTAATATTAAGAATATATATAGATTTAGAATTTTGTCTGTCTGAGTTAGATTCAAAACAAATCCCAAACCAGTTTTCATCTTTTATGAGATATGGAGAAAATGTATTTGCTCCAGCAAATTATCACGTGTCTCATTCATCCTATTCTTACTTCCAAAAGGGCTGTCAGCATTGTTTTCTTGGAATTCTTAGGGGCTGATGGCCAAATTGCTTTATAGCTTAACATAACAACTTGAGACTTTTCTCTGGTCTGAGGGCTTAAGAAGAGAATTTGCAGTGAATGTATTTTTTTAAAGTGTTACTGGTGTCAAAAAAAAACACTATTATCTCATTTTGGTTGATATGCTCAATTTAAATATTTAATAATGTAATTATGTTGATTAAGATTTGAGGCTTGCGGTAGCTAGTAGGTATGAAATTGTTGATAACAGAAAATATGGATAAGATGTTCACCTATAGCCGGGCTCGGTGGCTCAGGCTGTAATCCCATGCTTTTGGGAGGCTGAGGTGAGTGGATTGCCTGAGCCCACGGGTTCGAGACCCACCGGGGCAACTTGGCGAGACCTCATCTCTACAATAAATCAAAAATTAACCGGGCGTGGTAGCGCGCGCCTGTAGTTCCAGCTACTTGGAAGGCTAAGGCGGAAGGATCGCAGGAGCCCAGCAGGTCGAGGCTGCAGTGGCCGGGAGAGGCCATTGCACTCCAGTCTGGGCGACAGAGTGAGACTCCAACTCAAAAAAATAAAAATAAAAATAAGATGTTCACATATAAAGTTGGGAAGCTCTGAGTGCTTTCATTTTGCACACGAAGAAACTGATGACCACTGAATTTTGACCAAGCCAGGGTTACCCAGCCTAGTCTTGGACTTTTTTTCTTACATGTTTCCTTGACTTCAGTTGTTCTAAGTAATAAGCAAAAAATAATACAGCTTGTTTTGGGTTAATTTTATTGGGAAAAATACTTTGGGATTTTCAAAAGCATGAATGCATGAAGGTATTTTCCTTAGGAATCACACCATCTAGCTGTCAGCTGGAGTCTTGGTTCTAATACCAACAGCATAAACTTGTTAAAACTAAATTAATCTCTTTGAGTCTCCTGTTTTTCTTTCTTTCTTTCTTTTTCTTTTTTGCAGAATGTCTGTATTAGGTCACAGATCAAAATTACAATGAAAACTGTAAAAGTTTATCCAACATCCTAATTCAATGAACTTCAGAAGGTTCCTGTAGACTCACCATTGGTCTACATTGCTAAAAGCAGGTCCTTGTTGTGATAGTGTCTTAATTCCTCTCCCAGTGTAGGAAGCATGATACGGTAAAAATGTGTGGGCTTTGAGTCTTACAGACCTGGGCTTGAATTGCAGCTCCATCACTTATTGGTTGAAAAACTTGGGCAAGGTAACTTCTGTTTGCCTGTTTCTTTTGTAAAATGACAATACACATCATATAGGATTTTTGTCACATAGAAATGAGACATTTTAGCATTTAGCAAAGTTAAGTGCATGGCAGAGATTATATCTAGTAAATACTGTTGATGGAAACTTTTAGTGAAAACCTTTTCTACTAGTAAGAACTGATACATTTAATGGTATTAGCTCAGAGTCTAATGGTACCAAAGAATTTCTCACTATAAGAATTTGTATTTTCATAAACTCAGTACATTATGGTAAAACCTTAGTTTAAAGTATCTTTCATATACTTACTTTCAGATGCTACAAGCTGAGGAGACTTCCAGCACCTCTCAGTTGAATGAATTAATGATGGCTTCTGAGTCAACTTTACTGGCTCAGGAACCGCGAGAGATAACTGCAGATGTAATTGAGCTTAAAGGGAAGTTCTTAATCAATTTAGAAGGTAAGACAGAGGTAAAAGTAACAAGTAGTATCTGGAGAATTGAGTAATTATAGGTCATCTTCAACTTTCCAGTGGATTAGATTTATTCTAAAGGCAGATGCATACTTGGAACATATCTTTCCATAGAAATAACATAAACTGCCAAGTTTCTAAGCCAGATCTGAAAAGTGTCCTACCTAATGATCTTGGGAACTGAAGGGTAGGGATAGACGAGGGAGAGAGATGTCCTTCCTGTCCTTTGAATAAACAATGGTTGTTGTATGTGAAGTTAGTCTGACTTGCTCTTACTTCCCTTTTGTGTCCCTCTCCTTTTGAACTTAGTACCCCAGTACTGCCCAACCCTACCCGCCCTTCCCCAGAGTTGATAGTAAAATTTTCTGTTATGTTTACCTCATATTAAAATATTTGGCCATTCTTAACGAGGGGCTAGTTTTATTGAGCTCATTCTCACAGTGGTATTGTATAAGTCATCATTTTGTAGATATTTATAAATTTTATAACCAACCTGATTTGTCTTCATTGATGACAGTGGAGTACCACTGAGAGAGAATAAACAGATAGTTTGGCAAAGGTGATACTGCTTGTGTTTTTCACATAGCTTTCAGGTACCAGCAGGACTGGTATGAGTAAAATGAGACTAATTTTAGGTATCAGTTCAAATTTGGGCTTGGCAGTGTTGACCATGTAGTAAAAGTTCTGGCTTACTTTGCTTTTCATGTTGATGTACACTGTGTACAAATATTAGAAAATAACTTACTTTTTACCATGTTTATCAACCTGAGGTCTAAGAATATTGTGGAAAAAATTTTGTTGCCTTTTGTCCAAACCTAGAAGTTGTGAGTGGAGACACTGCGGTTGTCACTGTATTGGGCTTTAAAAGTTCTTAGTCAAGTATGTAGCTGGAAAGGCGGTGTTACTCATCAGAACTATACCTGGATTAAGAGCTAGAAAGTCTGCTTTGCCCAAGTAAACACAGAACTCAGTGATTTGGGGAAAAATTAGTTTATCTCAGTTGCAGGCTCTCAGATTCCTCAGCTCTCTTTAGTTGTCACATTGTGTGATCCCATTATCTTGACTAATGGGAAGTGTCTGAAAAGCTTTACCAAGTCAGGAAGGAAAAAGTTTGAAAAAGGAGCCCCTGCTAAACCATTTAAGAAATAGTTATACAAGCTGAATGGCCTATCAGGAATATTTATCATGTATTTTTCTTTCATAGGTGGTGATATTCGTGAAGAGTCTTCATACAAAGTAATCGTCATGCCAACTACCAAAGAAAAATGCCCTCGCTGTTGGAAATATACAGCTGAGTCTTCAGACACACTCTGTCCTCGATGTGCGGAAGTTATTAGTGGCAAGTAGTACTCTGGCGTGAATATCTCTCTGAGCAAGAACCCTCCCGACAGTCCTGGCTGGAAGTTTAGGTGGATTATTTACTGTATTAGAAAGAAATTCAAGATTTAGGTAATGAGTGGAACAGTAACTGGTGGAGGATGAGGGCCTAAGTCAGAATTATAAAAGAAATATTTCCTGTACCTAGAGAAATAATTATGTATTTATACATGCAGAAACATACATATATATGTGATATATCCATAATGGACTTACTCACAATGTAGACACATTTAGCTTTCCTTCAACTGTGACTGAGCAAAAAATGTTTTATATTTTATAAATCTTTTTGACTCAGTATTTAAGTTCTGTGATGTCTGAAAATAAAGGCATTCTGGAAAACTATCGACTGATGTTAGTGCAGAAGTTGTGAATATCGAGTGAAAAAGTGGTTCTGCAGGGAACAGCAGAGGAGCGTTACCCTTACGAGGTTTCATTTCATTCTTCCCACAGGTGAACATCGCCTTTTCAGAATAGCTAGTTTTGGGGGGCTGGATTAGAACAAAAAGTACCACCAAATTTGTTATTCAAGAGGGGAAGAAATCTCTTAATACTTACATTAATGAATGTTTAGGAAACAACATGAAAGCTGAAAATTTATTTCACTAATATACATAAGTTCACAACAATGGACAGAAAATAGCAGTATGTACAGAATTTCACTACTTACAATACATTACAATAGATAAATGATAGAGCATTTTATAAACAATTCAGTATTGGATTAAAATCTTTTAAGGATGGCTAATTCTATTCAGCAGAAATCTAACTTCTAAAAGCCCAGCAAACCCATTCTTGTCAGGGTGAGAGGGCTTTCCCCGTTGCTATAGTGTACTGTAAAAATATTTGTCTCTTTTATAAATGAAATGGATCACAGCAACTTCTAAGTGAACATTATATTCAATTTGGAGCTAGTGATAGTAAGTCTCAGTTTTCTGATTGTAGACTGCAATTGATTGTGTTTCTAAAAAGCAACTTAAATATAAGTATTTCTTTGACCACAGATGATTTTTTTTATAACAAAGGTGAAACTTCTTTTTTTTCTTTTTGCAAAAACATGAAGCATTTAGAAACTTGCGGCTGTATCCCTCTTTATCTAGATATACCCTGGCCCCTCTAGTTCTATATCTAAACACAACTCGTAATGTAGAAGTTGTATTTGAAAACTTGTTTTCCTTCAGCATTATGCAATAAAATTAATATGAAAAAAGTAGATACTTAACATTAATGAAGAAGTGTAAAGGTGGGCATATATCCAGGAAAACACTACTGGCTATTGGCTTCCCATCAATAACTACAAGAAGTGTCACATACCTTTGTTTCAGAAACCACCCATTTACTTAAAATCTAATTCCTTTATTTGTGGCTCTTTGTTGTTATAGAATACATACATACACAGGTATTTGTCTTCCTCACAGATTTTAAAAGCCTTTGATGAAATAGTAAAATAAAATACTTAACTGCTTTTCTTAACCATGCAACTCAATTCGATTTGAAAATTCTATGACTGTTAAATTTTAGGATAACAACTCTAACTAAAAACTCAGTGGTCTGTGTTATGGTTCTGTAAGCCATATTTCAGGTTTCATTTTTCTTCTCTGTAATCCTCAGATTTGATTATGTATCCTACCGGAATACATTTAACCAGTTTTATTATCCAAAATGCTTAGTAAGTAGCCCCCATAAGCGATCATAGAATTGAGGATTTAGTCTTTAAAAATGTCTATAATTCCAAGTTTCTTTTACCAGCTTTATTAGCTTCATACTAGTTTTAGAGTATTTAGAAAAGTCACAGGAAGAACTATTCTCTTAAAACACATATAACAAGTAGATATTAATATAAAGCTAGATAATGTTTACAAGAATTCTAGCATATGTGTGGCTGGGGCAGCAGAGATCTAGGCAGGGGCTGGGAGGTTGGACTAGCTGAAGGCCCTTTCCAGTGTTGCTATTCTACAAATGTGTGCCTCAATCAGGCTCACAGGCCCCCGCCCCAAATACTCAAGATATCTGAAACATTTTAAAATGTGATAGTTATTTAAAAAGTAATTTCTAAGTTTTAGCCAGTTAAATTCTTATTTGGTTGTGATCTTTTAGCTCAAACATCAAAAAAAAATTTTTTTAATATCCCTGAAGGACGTACTCTCAACTTTGTGCACCTGCTAGACTTGGCTTCTTACAAGGAAGTGAAAAAACAAGCTTCTGTATCACAATGAGTTACTATGAATAACAATCACGACCCATGACAGGTATCAGTAATTATACAGTATGGCTACATTCTAAAGATATACCATAATAAATACTTGGTATTTGTAGAACTCAGAGCACTTTTATCTTTAAAAATAGTTTTGGTTTGTTTTTAATTTTAAGAGATGAGGTCTTGCTATGTTGCCCAGACTAGCCTCAAATTCCTGGGCTCAAACAATCCTCCTGCCTCAGCCTCCCGAGTAGCTATAGTTCAGTTTTAATCAAGAAATATTTATTTAGCACTTGGACTGCTCTAGGCACTATAGGGTACAAAATTAGTTGTATTTTATCCTCTTAACCCAGCTATGAGGTAGGTTTGCTAGAGCTGTAATATCACTAAGCATTTTTTCTGTACTGTTCCTAAGGAACATTACCATATCCCAGAAGCAGACATTTCTAAACACTTGTAGGAAAAATAAAGTTGAACTTAAAATTTTTAGTATCTTTGTTTTTTTTTTTTTTTACATAGATTTTACAAGATAATACATTTTTACAGTTACCCGATGTGGATACAACTTTGCAACTTGGCAAAAAAAGCAAATCTTAACTTACGTTATAATTAATTTTGCTGCACTGTTTGCATCTCAGATTCTCAATTTTGGCAAGTACAACAGGTTAAGAGTTCTATTTAGTGTCTCCTTCTGATGAATATGATGATCTTGAACCTATTCTGCCTCCTCAGGCAAGTTGTCCTTGATGGCAACAGCAGAACCTCTAGGAAAGGAACCTTTCAGCATCCAGAACTCCCAGGTGGCAGCCCAGTGTGGGATTTTAGGCATGATAAGAAAGGCATTTTCTCAACATTTATTAAAGGAGAGTGGGCTGTTTACCTCTACTGATGGGGGCTGTACATGAACACATTTAGATTTAATTACAACAATAACATTCAAGATATGAAATATAGAATCTTATAATAACATAATCTGTAAATTATAACCAATTTTAAACAGCAAGTTTAACAATAAAGCTACTTGTATTTGAATTAGAAATAAAAAGTAAAACATCTGTATTAATAATAGTATAATTGATATTTGTTTATATTTTATCTTCAGTATTAACCAAAGAGTGAAATTTAGCCAGAATGGTACTTTTTAAAATTATTTATGTATTTATTTTACAAAAGAAAAAAAGACATACTCTTTCCATAAAATTCCAGATCTTAATATGTAAAATAACCATGCACTAATTCGTGTTATAATCACACAGTTTTAGACTATTTCAGTAGACAAGTGTCATACAGAAGGAAGAGATATGGCTTCCACAGCTTCAATGAGGTGTAAGGCTAGACTATACTGCCCATGTTTTTCTGGTAAAAGCTCAATTACTTTATTTACTAGTTTAGCTGTAGTTGCAATTGGCACTTCAGTGTTTTGAAGATCCTGGGGTTCCTGCAAGCAAATGGAACAAAGAAATAACCTACTGTAATTGCTACTGACTCAAGAGTTGTCACAATAGATATCGCCCAATAAAAATGCTTTTCTTTGGAACTAGAAAAAACTAGAATGAAACTTGTCATTTAACTTTTCTTCATAACTGCTATTAAATAAGCATTTAGGAAAACATCCACTGGCCTTCTGCCGGACCTCATTCTGTTGTACTTACCATTGCCTTCAGCCAGGTGCAGAGTGTGGGTGGAAGTCTGGCAAGCACCTCCATTCCTTCTTTTGTCTGGGTGTGGAGGAGCGCATGAGCCAGCCTTTGTCCGGTCAACACCAGCAGCTGAGAGGCAAGGACCTCTTTGTCATAAACCTGTAAAATGGCCTGAGGACAGGAACATGGAGGAATAATACAGTCAGAGCTAAGAGATTTACTTAATCTGTAGGAATGGGATTGCCAGTGAAGAGATTCTAGGTTTTTGAGCTGTGGCCATGTATGCAACCAAAGGCAAATCCAAATCAAATGGAGCATTTACATCTGGATTTCTGCTCCTGAGAAATCACCTAATTTTTCAGTTCACTATGACTATACAATGTGTTGTTTTCAAGCTTTTGGCAAATAAAGGGAATTATATTGGATCATGTCATGACTACTAAAAATCCTCCGATGGCTTCTGAATGCACTTAGAATAACCATGGGCTCTGGGTGCCATGATTTGGCCCCTGACAGTCTCCCACCTCATCTCACTTCTTCACTCCTTGCTTACTCTTGTCAGTCATACTGGCTTTTCTGGTCCTGGACCTAGCAGTGCTAGTCCCCACCTCAGCATCTTTGTACTTCTTGTTATTTGTGTCGTGAGCACTGTTTTCCCAGTTTTCTAAGTGACTGACTGGTGCTTATCTTTGAGGGCTTGGTTCAAATGTCATCTTCTCTGCCTACCCTATTGTAGTAGCTTCTATTTATTCATATGATTCTGTTAATTTTCTTCATAACACTTGCCACCCAACACAAAATTTAACATGTTTTTCTGTTCCTACCAGTAGACTCTCATTCTATGAGGAAGGAACCTTATCTGTCGTTTACTGCTATACCCCTGCAGGAATACTGCAAGAATTTATTTGATTATGGTTTTATATTTTAATATTCCTTTATTCTATTTTTGTGCCTAGAAATTCTAACAAAAGGAATAAATAAAAGCTTTTTTGAAGCTTATTGATTAGTCCAGCTATTGACTTTATAACTTGAGCCCAGTAACATTCATAGGGTCATGATTACCTCTTCTCCTAAGTGGTCAACTCCATAGTTGTAGAGTTCCCCCACATAATGCCTTCTGATAACATCTTCACTAACTTGAAGGTGATGGGCTAAGTCCACAGCTAGAGCTGGCCAGTCTTGGTCTTTCCCAAAAGAAGTGGTCACTGCCTCTTCTGAGGGTTCTTTGTCCTTTGAGACTGAATGTTGGGCTTGGACAGCTGCACTTACAACTTTCAATAAGAACTTGAAAATGGAGAAAGAGATACAGCAATGACTTGTTAGTATGCTTCAGTAAAAAATATCAAAGTAATTATTTTTCTGTTACTCATAGTGGCTTTTTCTATGAAAACTATCAAACAAACATGTAATTTAAAGAGAAATGAGCTCTCAATACCTTGAAAGTGGTCATTCTTTTGAAAAATTTATAGATTTTTGCTTTTTTTTCTAAGAAACAAAAATGAAATCCAATAGCTCTAATTTACCTGTTGTCGTACAGAAATAAAATTTGGATCCATTTCCCCACTAGGTAATAACTGAATTGAAGTCAGATCTTTGAAAAATGCATTTTTCCCCTAAAGAGAAAGAGATCAAGAAAACTGATGAGTTTGGACTGTTAAGGGTGAAAAAGGGAAAGATTTTTAAAAACTTAAGTCATTTAATCAGGTATAACTCATGGTTTATTTTTATTTTCTTCCTGAACAATAAGATTTTAGAATTTTAGAATATGTATAACAATTTTCTAGTATGCAGTAGACAGCCTTTAGGATGGTCCCCTGTGATTCCTCCTCCTGGTTTTCATGCCTTCTATGGTCTTCTTCCCTAACATATGGGCTGTTGACTCGCTGCTAGACAACAGAATTATGTAGAGGTGACACTTCCAAGATTAGGTTCCAAAAGGAATGCTTCTGTCTTGAGTGTTCACATTCACTCCCACTCACTCTGAGGGAAGCCAGCTGCCATATTGTGAGCTGCCATATGGAGTGGCACGTATGGCAAAGAACTGAATCTTACCAACAATCAAGCTTGGAAGTGAATTACCCTATCTTCACTCCAGTTGAGCCTTCAGATGAGACCACAGCCTGGGCTAGCAACCTAACTACAGCCTCAGAAGAGACTAAGCCAGAGGAACCTGGATAAGAGGAACACTGATTCCCGACCTGTAAAAACTATCATTTTCAGCCACTACATTCTGAGATAATTTGCTTTGCAGTAATTGATCACTGATACATAGTGTGTACTATGAATCTTTTTTAAAACACTTGTTGAATTGTTTAAAAACATCTGTTTAATAGATGTGTGTATGAGGAGTCAAGACAGCATATCAGAAAAAAAGGTTTCAGAAGCTCCTTGGAAGTAAATGTAAACAGAACAGAAAGCATCGGCCTTTAAGCTGGAAGACTCAGGCTCTAGTCCCAGGCTCACCACTTCCAACCAGGTAGACCACCATATTGGGTTACTGTTTCCTCTTTTGCAAACAAGTCATCTCAGGTCTCTTCTCTACCTAGCTGTCTAGGTCATCTAGTGTGATTGCCAAGTAGATTAAAGCTACTTATCCTTCAGTAATGAGAAACACCAGACTTCCCAGGGCAATCCATTATATTTTAGACATTGCTGTTTGAAATATTTAGGATACACTTGTCCACAATTTCTATAGTTCCCACCTGCTGGTCTTAAATATAAGGGTCTATAATAATAGTACCATTTATTATTTACTATGTTTCAGACACTACTAAGTATTTCATGTTGAATATATCAATTAACCCTCACAACAACTATGTGGCAGGCACTAGAATCATCCCCACTTTATGAATGAGAAAACTGAGGCTAAGAAAAACTTTGTAATTCTAGTTAGTAAACGACAGACTGGAATTGTTTCACTCACCACCCTGCCTTTTTATTTGTAGATGAGAGTCTGCATACAGCTGTATCAGGTCATCTCAGCATGATATATGGATTGGTGATAACATCATTGTGCTTGTCCAATTCTAGATGTGTTCTGGTTTCACAAAGTCCCTTTGTGAAGGGAGTATGAAGCTGGGCACTTTATTTTGGTATTTCTTCCTTGCTTTCCTTCTTTTTTTTAAGAGATGGTCTCGCTCTGTCACCCAGTCTGGAGTGCAGTGGTGCTATCATAGCTCACTGCAGCCTTGACCTTCTGCGCTCAAGGAATTCTCCCACCTCAGCCTCCCATGTAGCTGGGACTACAAACTCATGCTACCACACCTGGCTAATTTTTTAATTTTCTATAGAGATAGGGTCTTGCAAGTTGCCCAGACTGGTCTTGAGCTCCTGGCTTTCAGTGATCCTCCCACCTTGGCCTATTTTGGCATTTATTTCTCTTCTTATTTTTAAACTTTTAAAGCTCAAATGAAAGTTATACTAACTCATTCAAATCTGTATCTACAATATAAGTAATATATTATTTCATTTGGAAGATTAAAATTTGCCATTAGACTTCTAGTCTATCTTTCAAAAGTATATTTTGGGGATCTAAATGTTAAATCTTGCTGATTAAAAATAAATTTCTCAAAACGTATATTATTTTTGTTCATATAAACCTTCAAACACAACATGTCCGTAAATCATAAATGGGCTTCTTTGTAAATAGCATGCCCAGTCTCCCGAGCTTGAAATTATATCTAATTATAACCCTTTCCATTTCCTATAGCATATACCCAGCCTGTCATTAGGTTACTGACTCCTCCAGATCCCTTCATGATTTTTATTATCTCCCCTCTAGTCAACGTCCTCATCAACTCCTGACTTCCAAGGGTTTCTCACACTCCACTACGTCCTTAGTCTCTTTTGCATACTGTTACCAAGTAACTTCTTTAACAGCTCCTAAATTATAAATGCATTAAACGTGTAATGAGTTCCTATTATGTACCTGGTTGATAAAACAGGAAAGGCAAGTCATGGCTGTGGGAAGCCTCCTTCCCCTGGCTCCATGTTTCCATGTGGACTGGTGAATGTAGGGGGAGGAACTGAACATTCTCAAAAGTCCCTTGCTTTCCCACTTTGGGGAGGCAGTCTTCCCACAGGGAGAAAACATTCTCTGCTCCCACAGAGCCAGGTACTTGAGAAGCCTGCAGGGACCCAGCTGTGCCTGTCCTTTAGGATGCAAGTCTCTCATGTACAAGAGAAATAATAAAACCCGCTTTCCCACAAGCCTAAGCTCTCCAACCTAGTTTCTATCAGTAAAAAGCTAAGTAACAAAGATAACAATTTTATCTCCACTAGTCTGAATCCTATGTCTGTCTCTCATTTGATACTTGCATGAAGAAGAAAAGGGCTTTACTATTCACAGCAGCCAAGTTGAGAAGATCTTTTACATGTTCTACTAACAAGTTTGGACTTGATCCTGCAGGGGAACCAAAAAGTTCTAGGTGTGGAAGTCATATGATTAGACCTGTCTTGGAAAGACAGCTACTGCCGCATGGGATTGGAGAGAAACTGGAGGCAGGGTGATGAGGAAGGGGTTGTTGTAATAGTCAATGGAAAGACGAGGCCTGAACTAGGGGAATAGCGATGGAGAGGAATGGACAGATACGATCTAAGGAAGAATTAACAAGAATGAATTTATAATGTCGTAAACTGGCTTGAAGTAAGTAATTCAGCCAGATAACTTCAAAGGTTCTAATTTTTCCAGTGCACAAATGATGCTATCAATTAAATATCCAAGACAGGATTCAGAAGGAACAGCAAATTTAGGTCAGGGGCATGCTGGGGGTGGGAGTTTGGAGATATATTTTAGAATGAGATATTTGAAGTCCCATAGGACATTCAAAGAGAGACGTTCAATAGAAAGAAAAGCCTCAAACTCTGGGGATAGGTCAGGCCTAGTCCATCCAGGAAGAATATGGAGAATGAGAAGGGCAGACATCTGAGGGGGTGAAACAAAAGGGACACCGATATGTAAAGCCAATCAGAAGAATGAAAGTAGGCAGGGAATAAGGCAGTTGAAGCCTCACAATGAATGATTCTACACAAAAATACTGGACCGTTTCTATTAGACAAGAAAATTCATGTGTCCACTAAATCTGCAAGTCCAAAATAGCTCTGAAATCCTCTGAGATACTTACCTTACTGTCAAATAGTGAAAGTGGCTTCATGCTCTTCAGAGAAAACCTCATGACTGCGTACAAGATGGAGCACAGGATAGAATGGTGTTCCACCAGCGGGTAGTGGATGTGTTTCTGCTCAAGGGCAAGTTCCACTATTGAGATCGGCCCTTCCACAGAGAGCCAAGCATCCTCAGTATCCAGGACTGGCACTTGCATTTCATCCCTGCTAACATCTGCCTGAGGGTTTTGAAAATGGAGAACTGTTTTCAGAATTGGAGAAATGATATCTCACAAATATCCTAATGAACTTACTAGCAGCAAAGTGCAAACTTACACTCCACACCCCCCAAATCGTAATAAAAAGTCAAAAAATCTAATTCTAATAAGAATTTAATAAGAAAACCACTACTTAGGCTTAAGTCAAAGTTTAGAAGTGAATAGATGAAAAACTGTCATTAAAATATGCCTTCATTAAGTGCAATGATTTTCAGAATATTTAATATCTTAGAAGCAGTTCAGAATGAAAATACACCTCCTACCTCCATTAAAGTCTGAAGAAGATCCAAGCAGGAGCCAAGGAAAGCGGTCATTGCTGTGTCGCTCATTCCCACATCCTGTTTTTAAAAAAGAACCTAATTAGGCCCTGCAGCAAAACAGCTATAGTTACTATCAGAAAGAATAAAAGAATACAATACACCTCTGTTCAACACACTTTCCATACTAAATAGACAGGTAAGAATTTGAAAGTCGAGGCATTAGCACATGTAAGTTCCTTTCTGTAGATGCTTTAGAATCAGTCAATTTTAAAGCCAGGCTTTAAAAAAGCAGTATTACTATCAACTTTTAAAAATTAGTGTTCTTTGTGTATCATAAAGATACTTTCTCATCAGGTACTACATATGGCGGCACTCCTGGGCTCATAGTTTAGCTTGCTGCATTAGATAGCCAAATAATCATGGCACCTGGAAGATAAACACATGAGACTCCAAACTGAAAAGCTCTAAGAAAACAGCCTGGTGGTCTCAAAGCATCTTTTCGGGACTCAACTGGACCCTCTGAGCAAAATTAGAATCCCCAGGCTTGAGAACTAAATATCATATTCATGCTGTGGGCAACACATGACTCCCTTAAAGGGCCTGTCCAAGGGACAACTGCATTTAAGTCTAATCTTTTTTAAACCTACAACCAATAAATAAATTTGAGGACATTCTCCCCAAATAATTCAATGTGTGTGTGTATGCGCATATGTGCATGCACAAACACATATAACTCTAGTCATACAACCACTCTCAAAAACACACTAGACACATTCTTCAACAATAAACTTTTTGGGGGACTGAGTACCTATAATAGTTGGATTCATGTGTGGTTACATTTCCTAAGATATTTGTAATAAGAACATTTCAAAGTTCTGAACAAAAGCTAGCACTATTAATCACTGGCCTCAATGATAAGCCCAGTATCTGTGGATGAGAATATTAAACGTGTGGCAATGACAGCATGTTATCCTCCAGTACACAGTCCAAAGTTGAATATATCTTATGAAAACTTAATTTACACATGCTATCTGACAATCTGGAAAGGTAAATTAAAATGGGTCACAGTTCACGACCAGTTTCCTTAGTATAGTGTTCTCTTTTCACTTTTCTTATCTACTGATATGTCATCAAGATGATAAAAGGCAAAGTTCACTCCTACAGTTAATAAGATACGATATAAGGTGTGGGATTCACTACAACTATAATTCTGGTTATAGGACATCACTTACCCTTCGGCATAACCTATCCTTTGGTGATTTTCCAACCTAAGACAAAAAGACACAAAGTAATGTAATACTTAATAATTAAAGTAAAAAGGCATTACTACAGTATAGAAAATAAAAAGTAATCAAATTTTAAAACTATATACGCAGCTAAAAATAAATGTGGCACCCTTTCATTGACTATTGGTTTTTGCCAGTAGTAGATGTAATTTTGTGGTGAAACTTAAAAATATCATACTTACAATCCTTTTCATAGATAAATTATATATATTTTAACTGTTAAGTAAGCAAAAACTCTCTAAAAATCTGGCTCTCACTTTTAGTCAAATAACTGTGTTGCCTAAAAGCCCATAGGCAAACTTAAGGCTACTAATAAAGAACACCTAAGAACTTTGCTTGTTAGTAAAGACACACGATAGTTTGAAATAGAAATAAAGAAAAACACAGGAGTTACAATCCTAGCTCAGAAAGGTTTCCTTGATTTCAGTAAGTACTTATTAGGATTCTACTGTATATGTCTACAGGGTAATAAGCAAGATTTAAAACACTTCACTACCTCTGAGACTCCAGTATAAAACACCTCACTACTTCTGTTGCTGAGATTACTGCAACAGCCTTTGAACAAACAAGCTCAGCCCACCCCAACTCGAAGATATTTTATCCATTGTTCTGCTTAAAACTGCCCCAAGGTTCAATATAAAATAATAGCTACCACTCACTGAGCCCTTACCACATGTGCCAGACCCTATCTACACGTTTATACCTACTATTAGAAAATCCCAAATCCAAGCCTGCACAGAAAATTATTCATCTCAGCTTCTATTTTCTTCCAGTACAGCCTATGTTCTACCCATACTAAGCTACTTTTACTTCTTTAAATGTAACAAGCTGCCTCGTACTTTGCTGAAATGTTTTTTTCTCACCCACTTTTCACTGTTATCAGTGTACTCATCTACCAGAATTCAAGTCAGACGACTTCTTTCTCCTTGTCTTGTCATTTACTTTCTCTTATGAGCTCCAGAAACTCCCTATTGTATATTTACCTGTCTTTTAGACTAGTTTTTTGAGGGCCAGGACTGTGACTTTCTTCTGTTCAACCACAGAACCTAGTGCAGTCCTTGGCACATGAGAGATTAATGCATTATAATAATTATTGAATTAATAACCACAAATCTCCTGCTTCGTAGCTCAGGACTATTTTCACACTAATCAAAATTGTAAGGATTAAATGTGACAGTGGATATGAGAATGCCATGAAACCGTAAACAGTAACACACACATAAATTACTTTTTGTTACTATTCTCTCAAAAGAATAGGAAAACATAAGACCAAAAGAAGCAGGTTTCAAGAAAGAAACAGTTAAGCAGGCAAGAAAGATGAGCATAGAGAAAGAATAGCTTAGACTTAACTAGAAAAATGTCAATAACATCAAAGAAAGCATTTTAAAAGGAAACAGTGACCTCAAGTGGGCTGAGTTGTAGTACTATTCTTGGTGCAGAAATGGCTGTCTTTGTACATTTAAAAGAATATGTTGTTGTTACAGTGCTAATTCTCTTGATATCCACTTAAATGATGCCAGGTTAACCTACATTCTTGACTGGCTTATAAATCATACTAACTAGTGCCCCCCGACCACACTGCTTGAGGCTAGGTAGCTACTCGCTAGTATGCTGGCAGTTTTTGCTCACACCAGTTGAGTTTGATGTATGCATGTTATATTTATTCCCAAAGCTACTCATGCTGGTTATACATATTATTGTAATTATGTAATTTAATTAAATAACTTATGATATATGAATGAGAACAAAGCAGAGTTGTTTATAGAAATGCTATGCCTTACAAGAATTTATGAAGGAGACTAACCCCTAGGTCTTTTGCATTAGATGTAGAATAAACAACTGCAAAGATTAGGGGACAAATTACAAAAATCTAAAGATTTTGTTTACATCACAGCTTAAAAAAATAGGATCAAGACATGATAGGCAATGTATCAAGGGTATAGTTTATGCAAAGAAACCGAAGTAGAACTGCAATCAACCCCATTCAAAGAAAATACCTTGACCCTACATCCAAAGTTTGATAAGTGTACATCTGTACATTTTAATTTAAAATAAAATGAATCAACCACCAATCCTAATCTCTGGTTAAGAGGCCTTTACAGTACATTGCTCTCCTTCTGAGGATTTAGAACTCCTCTTCATGTCATTAAAATGCCAGTACTGAGAATTACATTTAACTGAGCATGAGCAAGATCTAGTTATCAAATAAAAAAGTCTAACAAAGCTTAAATGAACAATCTTCCTAATATCAATTAATTAAGAGAACCAAATAAATAAGAAGTCAGTACAAGAAAATGACCTCACCTTATCCATTAAGTATGTAGCAGCAGAAAACCTTTTAACTAAGAATGTATTCCACATCATCAGAGCAATGCCTAGATAGCAAGTAGAAGTAAAGTAGTAAATAAAATGCATACACAGACTCATTTTCAACATACATAACAAAATTACTGTCTTCCTTAAGCTTTCTAACCTGTATGGGCTATTTATTTAGATATCATTTCTTATATAGTATTTATAGAGTTAATGAAATTTTTATCTTTAATAGAAGTCAGAACTGGACTGCACAGGAGTATATCCAAATGACTAATATACAAAAGAAAAGATTCATAACATTAGTTAATAGAGAAAGAGAAAATCATAGTAAGATAGCATCACACAACCAAGAGAAAGGCCAAACACATTTTTAAAATGATAATACCAAGTGTTGATGAGAATGTGGAACAAATGAAACACTCATTATGTTGCTGGTGGAATACGTTGGTAAAGCCACTTGGGAACCTGTTGGGCAGTGTGTACTAAAACTAAATCTGTGTCTACTCCATTACCCAGAAATTCTACTGCTGGGGACACTCAAGAGAAAATGAATACAAAAGATATGTACAAGATTGTTGAGAACAGTTTTATTCTTAATAGCCAAACACTAGGTTGGAATCGATGAACTTGTCCATCAATTCATTTTTTCATATGTAACCATCAGTTAAAATAATGTATTTAAAAGTATTAAAAACAAAACAAAATATTAAAAATATATTTTAAAACAGCCAGACCAAAAATCGGGGCTTTATAATCCCATATTTACTAAGCCATGGCATGAAAATTAAATTTCCTAAAGTAAGTGTAAACATGACATTTCACATTCTGTTAATACTACTCATGAAGGCAAGTCTGTATCCAGGAGTGAGGTCCCTGATAGACTGTGAAGAAGACAGGAAGTTCACTTGATGTGTAAAGGTAAAAATGATATAGGCCTAACTTGAAGAAATACTAGCCTGCAGTCAGTAAACAACTTAATTTTATTCAATGAGGATAGAATAATCTAGAGATCATATTTTCCAAAAGATTCACAGTAAATCTTTTTTTCTTCAATGAAGGTTACGATCTAAGCGAAGAATAAATAATTTTCAAGCTCTCTTCACGTAAAATGGGATGTTTTATAATTTCTGCAATTTGATTTCATACCACCTGTAAGCAGATGATACAGGTGAAGAAGCAATAAGTAGCTTCTCTATTAATAGAATTTATCATATAAGGTGCTATCTTCTCTCACTCGGCCCCACACCTAGTCTCACCACTTACTAAGGTTGCTAACTAGCTTTATGCTGATCTCCTCAGGTAATTCTTATAATGAAATCCATCTATCTATTAAATGGAATCTGTTTACATGTTTTCTAAAATAATTTGTAGTATTTTTTTCAAAGAGACATCAGCAGTCCCCAAGGTCTGGCAGCCAATGGAGAATATTCACATCCATTAAAAGAAGCACAAGACAATTTCTACAGTCTAGTCTTATTAGGCTTTTGGCTATCAAAATTTTTCATCAAGAATTACAGTCCTGAGAAGTACATCCCTCTTTCCTTCTCTACATGTGAACTAAAGAGGGAATCAAGGATTCATGCATGACAGCTCCCTTAAATATGCCAAGGAATAGTAGTCAGCTTAGGGGAGAAAAGGGGAAATTACTACCAACACCTTTGCCACTTTCTATACAGCATTTTTCTAAGTACTTTATATATTAAAAAATATAAAATATTATACTTTATGTAGCAGTACACAATAACATGTTAGGTTGTAGAATGGTTAAATAAAAATTTAATAGGATGTGAATCTTTAAATTCACATACTACTAAATCAGGAAGCCTCTTTTAAATGAATGATGTTTTTAACATCTGTTTACTTACCATTCTGAACATGTGCATTAAGAATGTGCTTCAAGTGTTCTATTGACCTAACAAAAAAATGTGCTTCCTGACATAAAGGGAGAAAAAAGAAATATCATTGAATAAGTATCTCCAATACTGATAGAGACTTCTCTCTTAAGTTTCTGCATAAAGCTACCTACAAATATTGCAATAAGAACATGGAATTATTAGCTAAGAAGTAACTTTTGATAACTTCAATTGTCCTTAAATTCACATTACTTATATAGTGATTAATTTCTAGACATTTCCATGTCTCATAGGCTAGCATCTGGATTCAAATTTGCTGTGGTTTGTACATCATAGCGATATTCTCTCCAATAAATATCTGAATTTCATACAGATGTGAAAGCAATGAGTTTACTACAAATGCAATTCATTCATTCATCAATCAACCAATATACTGAACACCTATTATATACCAAGCCCTGTTTGAGGCACCTGGGACACCATAATGAACAAAACAGAGCCAAAGCCTTGCCTTCACTGAGCTTACATACAGGGAGAAAAAAAAGATATCATTTAATAGCTGAGGGAGCTACATAATGTGCATGATAAGTAAATGTATTATATAGTACGTAGTGGTAAGTGCCAAGGAGAAATAATTAAAGCAGGGAAGTAAATGGAAATATTAGAAGGCATGTTTGAAATTCAACTCTTTCTAATCAAAAAAATTTACACATGAAAACTCAAATATAGTATGTAATACTGATGAAATTATCCAGATCTTTGCGAACTAATTTTGAAAATTCCCCAGGGGTAATTTTAATTGTTTTGAGCCTTATAAAGTTGTGTGTGTGAAATGGTGGCACTGAGATAGTGGTTGGATGTGGCAAGATGAATATTTAACAGGAAAAACAAGCAAAACTGTGACTGATTTTAAATGTAAGCAATTCTAATGGACAGTGGTAACACTAATCAAAATGTTAGGCACTCTGCATACATTTGCATTTTCTCTATAAATGGCAATAACCTTGTAAGATGAATACTATTATAATAGTCCTTATTTTAGGAGAAAATTGACATAAACAGTTCAGAAACACTCTGAAAGGTCACACTAGCTGTGTGCTCTACTTATTGGCTGTAAAGCAGTTGCAATGGGTTGAAGTCAGCTTTGTCTTTGTCTACTATGCAAGCTGCCTTTGGTTTATAAACAAATGCATAAAGCAGTTTTCTTAAATGCCACTCTTGTACACTTGAATCTGAAGTTAATTCATTCAGATTTTGGAAATTATAATGTGTTCATTCTAGTCCTAACATTTCTTTTTTCATGAAATGGAAAAATAACCCATTTAAGTAGAGGGCCTATATGTATAATATGATCACCATGCAGGCTGCAGAAGAGTCAAGTGAAGAGGGTGATTTTAATGGTATTAAGAAGATCCCTGTCACAAAATCATTTTTTGTCAAAGTTTAATTGATAAAGATCTTTCTTTTATTTAAATCACTTATTTTTTTAAGCACCTTCCTTATGTAAGTGATCACAGTTTTTTTGGAGGAAGGAAGTGTATCATTAATTACATTAATTGACATTACTGTTAATGTATTAGCATGAATTAGTTCATCTGTAAGAGATCGCTACAAAAGTGCGGGCTCATATAAGGATGATAAAGAAATTAATTTTGATTTGAGAGGAATAATTTACCAGAGCACTGACTAGGAAGGGCTAAGTGAAGAAAAAAAAAATATCTACCATATGTTTTTCCATCTTATTTGATACTGGCACCTTTATTCAAAAAAGGAGGAGGGAGAGGATAGAAAAATAACAGGCTGGAGATTCAATGACTCGCCTGAGCCAGATACTTGCCAGCACTTCACCTGAGATCCAAATGCAGGCCTCCTGCCTCCAGGCTTGGGGCCTTCCCCTACCTGCTTCCAGACTGTGAATGCCCTAGGAGAGATGGTAGCTACCAAAAAAATGAAGCCTGAGCAGAGAGTAGAAAGGGCAACAAGGCTAAACTTGAACTACAGTCAACCTTGTACAGAATATGCCTTTTTGATTATTCTTCTGAAGCAAATATAAGAGAAATAACACATACAGACATTTCTGAACAATCAGACACTAGGTTGACATCAGGATTTTTATTCTGACTTTTATCATGATGACTATAATATTAAAAATATTCTGTAAGGTAGGTGCCACCTCATGCAGGAATTCTGAAGGAAATAAGAAATATATTTGTTGGGCCAGGCATGGTGGCTCACGCCTATAACCCCAGAACTTTTGGAGGTCAAGGCAGGAGGATCACTTGAGCCCAAGAGTCTGAGAACAACCCAGGTAACACAGTTAGACCTTGCTTCTCCAAAAAATCAAAAAATTAGCCAGACATGGTGGAGCAGGACTGTAGTTCCAGCTACTAAGGAGGCTGAGGAGGAAGGATTGCCTAAGTGCAGGAGTTCAAGACTGTGATGAGCCATGATCATGCCACTGCACTCCAGCCTGGGCAACAGTATAATAATATAATACACACACACACACATACACACACACACACGTATACTTGTCACAACATAAATAGGGAGTAGGGCAACACACTGGTTTCAGATAAAGAGCAACCTATGCTTAATCCTAACTCTTATTTAGCAGTGTGTCCTCAGGGAAGGAACTTCACTTCTCTGAGCCCTGTTTTTTCTTCTCTTGAGTGGTGATAATGATAATACCTACACTCTGTAGGTTTACTGTAATTATGAGGCAATGTATGAAAAAGGCCTAGTAAAGTTAGTAATACAGAGATATCACAATAAGGAAAAAGTCAGAGTTTATAAAAAGTTATTTAATTAAACAGTCCCCACATATGTATAGCACGAGCACAGAAGCAGAAGTAACATGAAAGAGGTAACGAGAATCTCACCTCTGGATCTTTATTCCACTGAACAACATACTCCCAGCAGCAATGCGCGTGTAGCACATCTAGCTCAAGGCTACAGGGAAACTGCTCATAGGCTAAATGCAGCAAATCTGAAAGTCAGAAGAAAGCAGTGATATTATTCTTTCCTTATTGAAACTCAGCCATACCTCTTCAGTCTGGATTTTATATTTCTTATTATTTATGGATCACCTGGTATGGCTCCTAAGTCCATCTCCACCTCTGACACCTCAAGGAAACATCTGTTGATACCTTCTTTGGGTTCATCTGGGTTTTCTAAATCGCTTTCTTTATTAACCAGTTTTAATATTTCAGGGCTGAAGTCCTGTTTAAATACCCACTTAGCCACACTGTCTGCAATGCCACCTACAGTTTGGAGACAAGAAAGAAAATGAAAATTTATAACACATAGATAGCAGTGTTTGCCAATAGAAGCTAAAACATTGCATAATCTACATTTCCCTATGAAGAGATCTAAGTGCCACATTCATTTTTGAGACTTAAGGTGTCCCCAAAAAGCTATGAGATTTACAGCAGTATTACTGCCACCATGCAACTTGTGAGGACAAATGGGATATCTGCCATCTCAGGGCATCTTTATACTTACGGAAAATATTGAATAAATATAAATGCATATGCATACATGTCTGTACACCACATACTTTCTATATTGGCAAATTCAAAATCTACTTTATCAGACACAGATGAGGGAATGAATATATGTTTAAACATTTTCATTTAAATTATAAGTTTAATAGATTGATTAGCAAGACACTTGTCTAGGCTCTTGAGGGCAATATAATATTACTGTTAATAGTCAACTAACTTGCCTATATATGAAACCTTTATGGGCAAAATCTAACTATAATTATATAAGGAAAATCCGGCCTCATACAGACATGTAGAGGGAAAAAGCATACTCCTGAGGTACTCTGACCACCCTTTGAGAACCACTGCTTATTTTGTTAAGCAGAGGGAAGGACCTGGGGATTTCTTAGCATGGAATTGACTAAATCAGACCTAGAGAAAATTAATTGAGGAGGAGTATACAGAGGGTTATTATATTTTACTCAGAGTGTATTTTTCTTTCCCTATTCTTTCAGTTATTTCTATTAAAAATCTCCTAATATAAAAATACGGATGCAAATGTTCAAACAAACTTCAGCTTACCCCTTCCTCCTTCTAATAACTTTTTAACAGAAAGCCTTGGAAGCGGTTCCGCCTGCAGTGACAACACTTTAGAGGTTTGAGTGTTCCCTTTGCTGTGAAGCAGAGTCTGCAGTATGAGACAATCTTCCAGTTGTTTCAGCAGGAGTTTCCAGTATTCAGTGTCGAGAGAAAGGGCCTCCCAGGAATCAGTTAGAGCCTCTGAATCCATACCCAAAACTGTTTGAGAAAACTAATAAAAATTGCACTGGTGATTCTCTGGCAAAGATTCTGAATCAACATTAACTTGAGTTTTTCACTTGAAAGCTGAAGGACAACCAGTATACAAAACACACATGCTGTTTCACAAATATTACTGCCTAGCTGGAAGAAACACAAGGGTCAGGAGTAGACTGGAGACTCAGGGGTAGGATGATAATTTTGGACCTCAAAAAACAGAGAAAAAACTGTGACTCCGATTGAGCCAGTGTACATTTCAAAAAGTTTTCTGGGCCATCCTTGACAAGGGTCACAGTTTTTTCTCTCTGTTACCAATCAGGATATTGGCATCTCTTCAGAATGCACTTACCGATTTCAAAATTGTATCTGAAATTTTGTCTCTCTCCATCATTATAAACATTTCAAGCTGGCAATATTAAATTTAGCCTATAAACAACTGTGACCGACAATGTTAAGTGAATCGCCACAGACCTATTTAGGTGTCTCATCCAAATTAATGTATCATCTCCCCAAAATAAGTTATTTGATCCACCATGAGCTAGAGATATTTGAGCTCTCAAGTGATGAGGAAAAGCTGAAAAGCAAAGTCCAGTAGGTCACTTATATTTGAATCAGTCAATGCTAGGTGTATAAGGAGGAGAGGGGGTAAAAACAATCATAGAACTTCAGACCTAGATTAAATCTGGGAAGTGATACAGTCTAACCCTGGCCTCTTTTAGATGAGAAAACTAAAGCCAGGTGACTCATTTTAAAAGGACTCACCACAAATCACCAGCTATTGGCAGAGAACCAGTTCGCTGCCTCCAATTTCAGCACGTTTTCCCTGATGCTATGTGATGACTGCTAACTTCAAGTATGCATGGCATCTGAATAAACAGATTGAGGGCAGCACCTCCCATCTGTCTCCCCCAATCCTCCAAAACCCCAAACAAATAAGAAGTTTTTTGCCACAATTTCAGATTCTAGATGTTCTAGAACACTGAAGATGACGTATCCCCAGAAAAGGAAAAGCACCCCCTTGCCCACTTACTTTTTTCTCTGTCATATTATTCGTTATCTGTGCAGCAACAGAATGCCCAACGTGTGCAGACAATAGAGCAGCTCCATTGTTCTCAGACTGAATACACGCTGTACGCATCTGCTGCCACCATGGGGACACAGACTGGGAATCCCAGGTCTCATCGATGGCCACTACAGAGAAAGAGAAAAAATGGAAATCTACTCTTACCCCATCAATTTTTGGGGTTTAATCTTTCATGTTAAGCTTAATGTAAAAACTAAATTTCCTACTGATATGTTTGTATATTTCTCAATGAAGTGGAAAATAAACCTAGAATCTATTTTATTCAGAACATTTATATTCCATTTATTTATGCTCTCTTAGTCATTCTGTTTTGTAATCAATATTAAATCTTTAATTGGTATATTTTCATCATTACTAAAAACTACTGAATTTTTTAATAGGTTAATATTCTGATAATCAAACCAAAAATAATTTTAAAAATACCTCCACCAAAGACCATTCATTTTGCTGTACTGAGTCAATGTATGTTTACATCATGTTATTTTTTATAATACAAAATACAAATTTAATTTTCATAAATTAAAGCATACTTCAAATACACTAAAAGCATTCTATGAGTACATAAAAGAATCTCTATGGTGAAATGTTTTGTTCACTACAGTCTCCTTTTGTTAAGAAGAGGAACTATCTTCCCTTCCAGTTTTTGTGGTATTTCAATCACTAAACTTTGCTTCCAAGAGGAGCATAAATCCCGAGAATTTGGAAACAAATACACCAGCATCCTACCTTTCATCTTGCTCAGGAGGGACAGCATTGTATGAAGACAGCAGACAGACTGTGGTTTATCCAAAATATCTTTTTCTTTAGAAAGCCAAACACTCAGGAGCAGAGACTAAAATCAAATTTAAATATTTTTAAGTTTAAAAAATATTTAGCATGGACAAAATCTTGCACTTTCCTAGACAGCATATATGTGCATATGGATGCTGCAGCTTCTTGAGCTGGAAAATAAGTGTTTGCTTACTGTCTCATTTAATATGAGGGGCAGAACTAGGTACCTTGTTTGCCTAAAAGATTCTCTCCCGCTCCACCCCCTCATCCCCCAGTCAGGGTCTTATTCTGTTATCCAGGCTCTGGAGTACAGTGGCACAATTATAGCTCACTATAGCCTCAACATCCTGAGCTCAGGAAATCTTTTTGCCTCAGCCTCCTGAGTAGCTGGGACTACAGACACAGGCCACCATGCTCAGCTAATTTTGTAGAGATGAGGTCTTGTTATGTTGCCTAGGCTGGTCTCCAAATCCAAACCTCAAGCAACCTTCCTGCCTTGACCTCCCAAAGCGCTGGGTTACAGGCACGGGCCACCATGCTCAGCCAGTAAAAGATTCTTAAGAGATTCTTTATTCTCTGTCAGATATCTAAATTCTACCATTTCCATCTCTTCTTTGAGTTTAGCATTGTCTTCCAACTCAAACTCCTATTAAGGAGCATACTATTAGAAAGGACATTACTATGTGAGCATGGATTTGCTGTAGACTAGCAAGGTGAAACTCGGCTGTAGGTTTTGACTGGAGAAAGAGGGAAGATCTGGCACTACGGATCTCGTCCTTGCCTTGGTCATACAAAGGTACCACAGATATGACAGTGGAGAAAAAGTACATAAGCCTATCAAACTCCAATTTTTTTCTTTCTTTCTTTTTTTTTTTTGAGTTGGATGGAGTCTCACTCTGTTGCCCAGACTGGAGTGCAGTGGCCGCTCCCGACTACCACAACCTCGGCCTGCTGGGTTCCGGCGATCCTTCCAAGTAGCTGGAACTACAGGTGCGCGATACCACGCCCGGCTAATTTTTAATTTATTGTAGAGATGAGGTCTCGCCAAGTTGCCCAGGCGGGTCTCGAACCCGCAGGCTCAGGCAATCCACTCACCTCAGCCTCCCAAAGTGCTGGGATTACAGACTGAGACACCGAGCCTGGCTCAAACTCCAATTTTTAAATCACTAAAAAATTGTTTTTAAAAAGATTTTAAACAAATACACTTAAGTCAACATAAGTGACTTTTAAGATGCTTATGAGCAAGCATATCTATTTAAAGTTGAAACAGTTTTAAGATTTATAAAATTTTTTCAAAGGTAATTCTGGGGAAGTGAAGTTGAATAACACAGTGTCAAATCTATAACTACTGGTATCAATTAAAGGTAAAGTTAATCTTCAGAAATGAAGGTAAGATAAAGACTTTTCCAGAGAAACAAAAGTTGAGAGAATGTATTGCTACCAGAACTGTTCTACAAGAAATGCTAAAGGAACATCTTCAAATCAAAAGAAAATAAGCTGACATGATTGTTGTACTAATATTGTAATTTGGTATTTAAATTATTTATGCATTTGTAAGAAAACTAAAAGACAAAAACTATTAAAAATAATAAAAACTACAACAACTTGATAGAGATAGGCAATACAGAAAATGTATATGGTGACACCAAAAATGCAAAATGTAGAAAGAGAAGGGAGTTAATGTATACAGGTTGTTTTGTTTTGTTGTTTTGTGAGGTTCGTTTGTTTCTTTGTGATCAAAGTTAAGCTGATTTTGGTTTTAAATACCTGTTAGAACTATAGAATGTTTTTTGTAAGCTTCATGGTAACTGCATAACAAAACCTATAATAGATGCATTACAAATCAAAAGTAGTGAATTAAAACATATTACCAGGGAAAATGACTTAACCACTAACAAAGAAAGAATGGAAGAAAGGAAAAGAGGAGATACACAACAACTAGTAAACAAGTAACAAAATGGCAGTAGTAAGGTCTTACCTATCAATGATAACACAATATAAATAGGCTAAATTCTTCTATTAAAATACAGAGCAAGCTGGGTGCAGTGGTACACATCTGTAGTTCCTACTACTACTCAAAAGGTTGAAGCAAGAGAATTGCTTAAGCCTAGGAGTTGGAAAACAGCCTGGGCAACATGGCAACACCCTGGTTCTAAAAACAAAACTTAGAGTAGCTGAATGGATTAAAAGATAAGACCCAACTGTATGGTGCCCACAATAAATCCACTTTACCTATAAAGACACACATACAGCAAAAGTGAAGGGATTTAAAAAGATATCCCATGCAAATGAAAGCAAACAAACAAAAAGTAGGAATAGCTTACTTATATCAGACAAAACAGACTTTAAGCCAAGAACTGCAAAAAGAGACAAAAAAGATCATCATCTAATGATAAAGGAGGTAGATTCAGCAGAGATGTAACAACAAAAAAACCTGGAATTTATTAAAAATTGTGTATTTTTTCTTAAATATTTAAACTTCAGTCATCTTCAAAATACTCTCCATTTGATGCAATAAACTTATTGAGACATTTTTCCACTGCTCAAAACAGTTTTTGAAGTTTTCAGTTTTTATGTCTGTTAGTGCTTGTGCCGTTTTTTGTTTTACCTCTTCCACATCAGCAAAATGTTTCCCTTTGAGGACTTTTTTCATCCAGGGAGGCAAAAAAAAGTCACTTGGGGTGAGAACGGGTGAAAAGGGAGGGCGGGGCATGAGTTTGTGGTCAAAAAGCTAAACACTCAGTGTGATGGGTGACTGGTAAATCACCCATCACGAAATGGTCAAACAAATTGAAAGAATATCCAAAAAAAAATCACTGAAGCTGAATGTAGCCTCTCACAACAACTATAGCTGGTACACTGATGCCAATGAGTTCCTAGAACACTTACCTAGTGGGGGGAGCCTGTATTACAAGGGGCCCGCCCTCCAAAAAATAATTCAGTGTTTTGGAGGGTGCCCCCTCGAATTTGTGCTCAAAATCAGAGCACATATAAAGCAAATATTAATAGATTTAAAGGGAAAAAAGACTGTGATATAATAACAGTAGGGGACTTCAACATCACTTCTGGCAGCAGACAGATCATCCAGGTAGAAAATCAACAAAAAGACATCGGCGTTAAACTATACTCTAGACCAAATGGACCTCATGGGCGTTTACAGAACATTTTATCCAAATGCTACAGAATACACATTCTTTTCACCAGCACATACAACATTCTCTAGGACAGACCGTATGGCCACAAAACAAGTCTCAACAAATTCTAAAAAGCCAAAAAGCATATCAAATATCTTTTCTGACCACAATGGAATAAAACTAGAAACCGGTAATAAAATATACTTTGGAAACCATACAAATACATGGAAATTAAACAGCAAGTTCACGAATGACCAATGGGTCAGTGAAGAAACTAAGAAGGAAATTTAAAAATTTCTTGAAACAAATAAAAATGGAAACACAACATAGCAGAACTGATGAGACACAGCAGAAGTGGTAACTAAAAAGAAAGTTTGTGGCAATAAATATCTAAAAAATAGACTACAAATAAACAATCCAACAATGTACCTCAAGGAACTAGGAAAGAAAGATTAAACCAAACCCAAAATGAGTAGAAGATAAGAAATAATAGAGATCAGTGCACAAATAAATGAAATTGAGACTAAAACAACAATACAAAAGATCAACAAAACAAAAAGTTGTTTTTTAAAAAAGATACACAAAATCAACAAACCTTTAGCTAGACTATAAAAAAAGAGATAAATAAATAAAATCAGACAAAAAAGCAAACAGTACAACTGATACCATGGAACTATAAAGGATTATTACAGACTGCTATGAACAACTGTTTAACACAAATTGGAAAAGTTAAAAGAAACAAATAAATTTCTGGACATATATACCTTTCAAGAATGAACCATAAAGAAATAGAAAACTCAAACAAACAGCCAATAATAAGTAAAGTGATCGAAGTCATAATAAAAGATCTCCCATAAAAATAAAAATAAATAAAAAGCCCAATACCTGATGGATTTACTGCTAAATCCCATAAAAATGAAAATAAATAAAAAACCCAATACCTGATGGATTTACTGCTAAATTCTACTGAACATTTAAAAAAGGGCAAATACCAATTCTATTCAAACTACTTCAAAAAATTGAAGTGGGAACTTCAAATTTATCCTATAAGGTCAAACTTATTATATGAGACCAACATTACCCTGATTCCAAAACCAGACAAAAATACAATAAAAGCAACACATTAACACAGTCAACAAGCTCACAGACCAAGGATGTCCAAATCCTGGCTAAAATATGTGAGTGGAAATGTGAAAGAGTGTGTACAGTTGGCCCACCATATTCACAGGATCTGCAACTATGGATTCAACCAAACATAGGTCAAAAACATACAGAAAAAAAAAAAAAAAAAGGGATTGCTGTACCTATACTGATCATATACAGACTTTTTTTCTTGTCTTTATTCCCTAAATAACACATTTTAACAATTATTTACATAGCACTTATATTGTATTAGGAAATATAAGTAATCTAGAGATGATTTAAAGTATGCAGGAGGATATACATAGGTTATATGCAAATACTACACCCTTTGATATGAGACTTCAGCATCTGTGGATTTTGGTATGTGCAGGAGGTTCCTGAAATCAATTCCCCATGGATACTGAGGGACAACTATAAATAAGTGCATGTGTAAAGGGCAAGTAATAAGGAAGAACTGATGATGACGGGTTAACTTTCCTTGCTGTTTTCAGAAAGGGCACAGTTAGTGTTGCAAATTCTCCACTAGATGATTCTTTTGTTTTACATTTGTTATAGCTTAGAGATTATATCCTAACATACATTCAAAGTTTGAAAATGTTTGATAACAATTCCATATTGTTTTAAGTTAAATTTATTTTGTTTTTAATACCATTTTTAGTTCAAACATGACAGTTTTTACTGATGATCAAATTCTATTTTAAATGCATGCATACATGTCAGGATGTTTATTTCAGACATATGTTTGTTAAAATTTGCATGGAACAAGAAAAGTAAAATAGGATGTTAAATATGTGGATTACAAATTTATTTGATCATTTTTAGAAGGTTGTCATGTATGTAAGACATACTAAAAGACAATGATTAAAAAGGAATGATACTCTGGATGACATTCACAAGGAAGCACTGAATCCAGCAACAAAAAAAACCTTACCAATAACAGCTGAGGGCTAAGTCCAGCAGACTCCAAAGTATGACACATATCCTCAGTGGAACTTTCTCCATGCAAACACTTCCAAAAAAAGAAACTGCCTAGTAGGACCAAAACAAAACACATTAATCAATGACTACTTATGATTTGGGTTAACAGTCTTCCTGAATTACAATCTAGAATTCCAGAGAAGCAAAACAGTATGAGGGAAGAGAAACTAATGGTTCAACATGCTTGATTTATTAAAGCAGAAAGCAAATCATTACATGTCTAACATTGTCTCTTTGTATATTGTTAATACAACTTGCAAGACAGTGCATATAGATCCAGAGTAGCTTTTGTGGACAAGAAATATATAGTACATTAAACTCTTTCAAAACAAACGGAATCCTTTAGATGCTATATGCTCCTACAAGGTTTTCTTCTGGAAGAGGGAGGATACAAAGAGTAGTTTATTATTTTACTTGCCTAAAGCCACATATTCCTCTTCACTTATCTTCTTTATGTTGAGCACATCTTTCTCATATTCTAAATATTCTAGGAATGTTTTTATAGGCAACACACCATCTTTATCATCAGAAAATCGAACATTAGTCCTGGTATTCTCTTGCTTATACTTCTCTAATAATGCCTGGAGCTTAAGCAGTTCTTTTTCATCAAGCCTTAGTAACACAGCCAAGTCCTTAAAAAATAGGAAAAAAAAAAAGTTCTCAAAAGACCATATCTCTTTCTATGAATCTGTGAATCTGTCATATGTGTCAACCCCATTGTCTAAACTGAAATTCAAGGCTGTAAGCAAAAGATGACTTTTTAATTTATGTGATGGCTATAATGTGCTCTGCTTAAAACTCTACTGTCAAATTACATTTCATGAGTAGAAAGTTATTTAAATAAAGTAAACTAATCTTGAAACACTATATACTACTAAAAGTACCATTTCAGAAAGCTTCCTGAGAGCTCTCTATAATCTTCTAAAATATTAGAATTTTAATAAATGTGTACTATTGTGTAATTAGAAAAAAATTGAAAGGGTATCAAATGCAATTCTTGCCATTCTGAGGAAACGAAAAAACTATTTGAATTTAATGATTATTTATTAAACAGCATAAACACTGTAAGTAAAAATATGGGCAAACAATTCTCATCGTACTCTACATATAAGTCCACTTTGTGGTGTTCAGGGATACAATCTGCCAGCCTTTCAAACTATTTTTACATATCATATGTGCAGAAACAAATCCTGACACTACTATTATTTTTCTAAATTAGGATCAAGTATACACACGTGTGTGAGTGCACATACTCAAAGGCCATAAATTTGCCATGGCAAGCAAAGTTTTCTTTCTTCCATGCTACATCCATAAAGCTACATTCTTTTTCTTTTTTTTTTTGAGTTGGAGTCTCACTCTGTCACCCAGACTGGAGAGCAGTGGCCACTCCCAGCCACCGCAGCCTCGACTTGCTGGACTCCGGAGATCCTTCCGCCTCAGCCTTCCAAGTAGCCAGAATTACAGGCACTCGCTACCACGCCCGGCTGATTTTTTGATTTATTGTAGAGATGAGGTCTCGCTGTCCAGGCGGGTCTCGAACCCGCGAGCTCAGGCAATCCACTCACCTCAGCCTCCCAAAGGCGCGGGATTACAGGCTGAGCCACCGAGCCCGGCTAAAGCTGCATTCTTAAATAAGAGAAGCTTCATTTGTTTATATACTATAGACTATTATTTTTAAAAACAAGTAGTAAACTACAAAATGCTATTAGAAATACAATATACTAAATTTATATGTAAATTTATATGTTTATGTCCTACAAACAGCACATTTGATGTTTAGTTTGGTATGTGCAAAACCAGCCATTCACTCTAGAAGTGGCTGCATGTTTATGAACAAACAAGCCTACAGCAAAATATGGTTCTAAGTCTTAAAAAGTGTTTTAAAAGTAATAAAAATAAACTGAAAAGAATATTTGCCAACTGATTTTAAATTATTGTAATTCTTTTATCTTTGCATATTATATTTGATCTATCCAGTGGAAATAATTTCTACAAGGTGCTGTATATTGGGCTACCAAATGGAAATTAATTCTATAGGGGCTTATTAATGATGCATGTCATTTTAGAAAGTATAAAACCTTTTGTGATGGGGTACACATAAGAGAGTTTGAATCTCATGAAAAAACTATGTATTGAAGAATTTACTAAGCGTCTAGGCAATCCTGTATATATCACTTAATCAATTTAAACCTTCCTGTTGCTTAAAATTATTTTACACTATTGCTAAAGTAGACAGAAAAACAAAATCTCCTGAAAAATGATTTTGTCATTTATAATGACAATAACAGAATATCATAATGAATAGATTATTGTTAAAATGCAATATAAAATCCATCTAAAATCCTTAAGATAAAATACAAGATATCAGAACATGTGAGTTGTTTCCATCACAAGCAGAAAATCTTTTCTGATTTTTTTGTTTAAAAAATTTTTTTGTTCGAAAAAAAATTTGTATGTGTATATAAAATAAAAGGCTTCTACTTTAAAGCTCAAATAACTTTCAAATATACCAGATACTTTTTAAAAAAGCATTATCAATGACTTGACAAATCACTAAAATAATTTAACAATCCTCTACTAGATAAGTAGAAGACATGAGGCACTTTATAAAGGTGGGCAACCTGCCCAATATCACACAGTCATCTGAGGGAAGAAAGGACACTATTTCTCTCTCTTCTCTATTAAGAGAGACTTTATTTCTCTGAATGGTAAGACTTTTGTCTATACTCCCTGGAAGTAGGCAATATTGCAGTGTAATAAAGATGACAAGAGCTGTCACTCCTTTTCTATGTTTTATAAAATAAAGACATAGAACATTTATTATAATTGTTTTAAACACTTTCATGTAAGAATATTTTTTTAATGTATTTCTTTATGTAGCATACACAAGAGCAAGTTACATGAGTTTGCACAACAACAACATAGAAAAATTGATCTTTTCTATTTGGCAGAATCATTTTTTTCTCTAAAAGATAATACAGTTTCTCCATATCAGTAAATTGAATATGTTTTAATAGCAAATCTTGTCCAGAAGAAGTAGTCTTAAGAAGCAATCTTTTAAAAAGAGTTGGAAAAAAACCTACAATTCCAGGATAGCAAAAATGAATTAACAACAAAATTTAATATTCTTGCATAAATAATATAAATTTACCAACAAGGCACACAGACCCAAGCAGATAACGAAAATATACCTTTAACGCTTTTTGTTTTGTTTTTTGAGATGAGGTCTCACTACATTGCCCTCAACATAGAAGTTGGTCAAAATAGGAGTTGGTCTCAAACTCCTAAACTCAAATAATCCACCTGTCTCAGACTCCCAAAGTGCTGCAATTACCAGTGTGAACCACCACACCCAGCCCCTTGAAGTTTAAAAAATTTTTTTAAAATTTTCTACTTTTTAACTACCAATTTAAAAAATTAAAAATAATCAAAGAGATTATTTGTATAATACTAAAATTTGAGATTACTCACATTATCTGAGAATGGTGTGTCTGGATGAAAATCCAGGGAATTTAATTGACTGACAGATTCATAAAGGTGCAGCAATTTCAGTTTATTGGTACAAAACTGTAGCAATCCCTCGTCCACACACTCAAGTTCTAAAACACAAAAGGAAAAATATTTAAGAAATATATCTAATAGATGAATAAAATGGTTTTTCTTTCATTAAATCTCTTAATATTATATAATTAATTCCCTAATATTCTTCTATAATAAATACTGGGATGCTTAAGCTATATCAGATTTTTCAAACAAAAGATAATTTTTCTGACGTGGCAAGATGTCTAAGTTTTTAAATACAATAAGATACTTTAATAGTAAAGAGGTAAAAGCAAAATAAAAGAAAGCAGAAATATCTTTGTCTAATACTGAAATACAAAGAAATGATCTAGGCCGGGCTTAGTGACTCAGCCTGTTATCCCAGCACTTTAGGCCGAGGCAAGTGGACTGTCTGAGCCCGCGAGTTCGAGACCAGTGCGGGCAAATAGGCAAGACCTTGTCTCTACGATAAAAATCAAAAATTAGCCAAGCCTGGTAGCGTGCGCCTGTTGTTCCTGCTATTTGGAAGGCTGAGGTGAAAGGATCGCGGTTAGCCCAGCGGATGTACGCTGAAATGATTGTGGACGTGCCAGGGCACTCCATCCAGACTGGACAACAAAGTGAGACTCTGACTCAAAAAAAAAATAAATAAATAAATAAAAAGAAATGATTTAGAAATATCTTTAAAAATATTCTCCCTCAGCCCATAATGCATTAACTGTCTATTGTGTTCACATACCGAGGATACATAAATATGCCTGGCTCTTCTTATCATCATGGTGGTCAAATATAACACAATTCAACCAGAAACTGTGGGTTATGACAGATGCAACCTCAAGAAAGGCTGGCAAAAAGACCCAAAATAGAATTTTACTTAATACCCTCTATCAATTAAATTTGACTTTATTCAAGATTAGTTCTAGAGAAATACTCTTTAAATAATGCATTTCTGTATAATAACTTAAGTATTTACATCTAATATAAAACAAATAATTATTCTTTAAAAAGAGAGACTGAAAATCCACAAGAACTGTTATTTAAAAAACAGTAACACGAAATACTGCTAAAGTTCTTACAGTCATAATAAAACTTAATGTAAAAAATACTCAAAGTCTTTCGGAATCTTATTTATGAGTAGAGCTTGAAATTGATGATCTTACAGAACTGCAACAATGGTATTTGGTTACTCCCAGACCAGTGCAAGAAAATTTTTCATTTAATAAAATTTGATAAGGCCTTGAGGGGTAGGAGGGGCTTTATAAGTATATTGTGCTCTTTTCTTTTTTTTTGAATTGGTGTCTCATTCCATTGCCCAGGTTGGAGTGCAGTGGCACACTCCCAGCCACCCCAGCGTGACTTGCTGGGCTCCGGAGATATTTCCGCCTCAGCCTTCCAAGTAGCCGGAACTACAGGCGCACACTACCACACATGGCGAATTTTTTATTTATTGTAGACAGGAGGCCTTGCCAAGTGCCCAGGCTGGTCTCAAACCCTCAGGCTCTGGCAATCCATTCGTCTCAGCCTCCCAAAGTGCTGGAATTACTGGCTAAACAACCGAGCCTGAGGGTTTTTTGTTTTTTTTTAATTTTTTAAAAATTTTACAGATGTAGGTTACAAGTCAGGATTAGGTACAGAAATGGTTTACATACAGGTGAGTGAAGTTTGGGCCTCCCACTGATTCTCACTTCCCCTGGTTTAGGATCAGGTACCCTTAGTGATGCTATGTGTTCTCCCTGCCTCCCCTGACAGTGTCCCACTACTGCCAATCTCTTTCTCATGGTATTGTGATAAGTGTTCAAGGCCCACTTATGAGTGAGAACATGTGGTACTCTGTTCATTGTTTCTGTGATAGATCACTGAGTATAAAAAACTCTAAATCCATCCACGTTGATGTGAAGTTCATAATTTTGTCTTTCTTTATCTTTGTGGCATTGAAAGTGGACTGGATGTTTTTAATAAAAGAATATTATGTTTTTTAAAAGAGATATTTTTCTAACAAGTTTTGTGCACTGAAGAAGTTCACTGTTTACCTAAGTCAGTTTCATACATCTATTGAAAAACCATCAATAATGAAAAAAAAGAGTCTCAAAATTAGGATGCTAGAAATCCTGAAATAACAAATCATGATCTGTTCGTTAAGCCATTTTAAGCTGGCTTAAACATAATTAAATATAAAGCTGGTTTTACATAATTAACACAACAAACAAGTCATGACTAGATGAAGTTAGTCCACTGCACACTACAACTTAATTGATGTTAGAAGTTCAGAATATATTGAATTTTGCCAGCTCTGCAGGATATATTATGAAGTTAAACTCCGGTTTCACATGTAATTCTTTCTCAGGCAAATAAATTTTAAACAGTAAAAAATTCAGAAAAGTTACTAGTAATCTAATTGTAACCTGTGATTTCTGGAAGTCCAAACTCTGTTCATGAAGGAAATGGATAAGAAGATGTAGATGTAGCTGGGCTCGGTGGCTCAGCCTGTAATCCCAGCACTTTGGGAGGCTGAGGTGAGTGGATTGCCTGGGCCCGTGGGTTCGAGACCCGCCTGGACAACTTGGTGAGACCTCATCTCTACAATAAATCAAAAATTAGCTGGGCATGGTAGCGTGCGCCTATAGTTCCAGCTACTTGGAAGGCTGAGGCAGAAGGATCACCGGAGCCCAAAAGGACGAGGCTGCGGTGGCAGGGAGCGGCCACTGCAGTCCAATCTTAGTGACAGAGTGAGACTCCAACTCAAAAAAAAAAAAAAAAAAGATGTAGATGTTACACACTAATAGAACATTAATTCAAAGAATAAATATTTTTTATCATTATCTCAGTCAAAACGTTACTTAAGAATGCCTTTCTACATTCACTTCTCTCATGAAGTTAAATAAAAGGCAATGTCAGCAAGAGAACCTGGTTGCTTTTGCATATCATCGACTCACTTTTCCCTTGTGCCATTGGCTTTCACAGTGTTCTATACTATATCAGAAGAACCCCCTTCATCATTCTATATTGACATCTTTCCTTACAAAGATTTTTTTTAATTTTGAAAAAAATAGTCAGTATACTCAGAGACAGTTCAGATGAAGATCAACTACATACATTAAATAGGGAATAAATAAGATTCCTTTATTTAGTTACTTATTTTTGAATTAGAGTCTCACTTTGTTGCCTAGGCTGGAATGCAGTGGCACAACCATGACTCATCACAGCCTCAACTTCCTGGGCCCAGGTGATCCCTCCACCTCAGTCTCCTGAGTAGCTGTGACTATAAGTGCATGCCACCATGTCTGGCTAATTTTTATTTTTTGTAGAGTTGAGGTCTTCCTATGTTGCCCAGGCTGGTCTCCAACTCTTGGGCTCAAGCAATGCTCCCACCTTTTTCTCCCAAAGACCTGGGATTACAGGCATGAGCCAACATGTCCACCTCCCTTATTTCTTATATATATTAGTTTGACATTAGTAAGACGATGGTATCATAAGCAATTAATAGCTTTCTATAATCAGAGTTATAAAATTTGAAGTAAGACCATAATCTCCAATCAGTACAAACCTTATTACCTTGATTTTTTAAAGTGTCCATTAAAGTCTGAGTGACGTTTCTAAGACAGGAAAATGATAAACGTTCACTTGCCAAAATGCTTTCCAAAGCCTAGAAGAAAGATGTTGAGCAATTCTAATAACTATAAAGCAATGATTTTGTTTTATAAATTTTACATTTTTGTCTACACTTCCACTACCCCCATTTTCAAAGGGAAGCTCCGTATCTAAGAAGTGTTAGTAAGTACTCATACCCTAAAACTGAAGTTGCATCATAAGTAATATGTAATCAACTTCATGTCCTGCCAAATATGGTCCAATGACAGAAAGTCTAGACTGAGAATAAACAACTAGGTGGCAACTGCTGTTTAATAGAATGGCCAAGACAAAACAGAAACAGAGACAAAGCTATTTACCAGTAAAAAGAGTTTGACTAAGCCTATATTATCTAGGCATAAATGAAAAGCAGAGGTTATTGTCAAGTTAATAAAAAGGAGCTGAGAGCAACTTAGTTATAGCTTATTTACCACATTTGAGCATAGCAGGCTGAATCTGTAGGCCATGCTAGATATATATAGTACCTGCCTACCCTACCAACCTCTCCCCATCCCTCACCCCATATAAGATTCTTTATAACCAGTTCCAAAATATTTCTTCACGCCTAAATTAACAACTATCAGAAACATCAATGGGTTAGACACAATGGTTAAAGTTTATATTCATCCTTTCATATTAACCCATTAAATTGGATTTTAATTGATGAGATTAAATCATTTGAAAAGTAGGCTGAGAATGTGGCATGAAACAAATACCAGATCATAGCAATAACCTCTATGTATTTGTGTAGGAGAAATGGGCTTACAGAGTGGTTCAAGATTTTGGTCAGGCATATAAAGCAGCAGCTTACCTTGAGGATATAAAGAAAGTGACTAAAAGAGGCAAGAACCCAGGACAAATGTATTCTGCCCTTGTTTCGCTTATGATTATACAGGCTAGCACCTGGCTTACTTTCCTACCTATCATTAAGTGTCCCAAAGTCTGAATTGGTTTCTTCCCTTTTTCTAGTGTAAAACAATATGTAACTTTCACTATTGGGTTTTCCAACTTTTTAAATAAAATCACAACTTCATACATGATTCAGTAGTATACTAAAAAAACAAACAAAAAAACCCCCCAAAACATTTGTAAATCGAGAAGATAGCTTGCACTATGCTGGTTTCCCCATTTTATTTTACTATGAATATGATGAGAAGGAAGATGGCATCAAAATGAGAAGAATTGTTGGGTTATGACTATCTCCAACGAAGATTCCTTAAACTGCCTCTCTACATGCCCACTGTCATCATTGTGTCATCTTTAATAACTGAGACTTTGCCCTGAGGAGAAAGAGACCTTATTAGCACTGTCAGTGGAATGGAAAACACGATTAAAAGTCACAGAGACTTGCCTGTTCTACAGTAATAAAAAAAGTTTTTAAAATTGACTGCAACAGAAATCACTGTTCATTTAATCCTCCCATGTATGCAGCTATAAAATAAAAAGAAATATACTTATTGGTTCCTGGCATAGAGCTCCTAAAGCCCCTGTAATTTCCTGAGCAATAGGAATGCTAGGAGAAACTTTTATTCTAATGCTTAGTCTCTTTCCTAGCTCTTGAGACAGAGCTCCTAATCCCCCTGCAGACAGAGGTGCTAGAGATTCTTTTTTCTAACATTTGGTTTTTGACCCTTCACCTCCCCTCCCTGCTCTATTCCTAACACAGAGAATTCCTAAGACCTTTGTAATTTCTTAAGTGGAGGGTGCTCTTTAGTTCTAATGACGTGGCTCTTGGAGGGCTCCTGGATAGCCCAGGATGGGGGGTGGGCAGGTTACTAGTGGAACCAACGATGTATTAGAGTTGGGACTCTTAGTCCCATTCCCCTAGACTCTAGGGAAGAGCAACAACCTGAAGACTGAGTTGATCACCAATGGCCCATGATGTAATCATGCCTATGTAATGAAGCCTCATTAAAAAAAAATTATACACACACACACACACACACACACACACACACACACACATATATTCACACATTTTATGTATATATAAACAAAAGATTTGAAAAGAGCTCTGGATAGCTGAACATGTCAAGGTTCCTGAAAGGGAGCTCGCCTGGAGAAAATAAGCTCTGCACCTTACCCCTTCCCACATGCTTTGCCCTATGCATTTCTTCCATCTGGCTGTTCCTTTGTATCCTCTGTAATTTCCTTTATAATAAATGAATCAACGTCAGTAAAGTGTTTCCCTGAGTCTGTGAACTGTTCTAGTAAATTCATCAAACCTAAGGAAGGAGTTATGGGAACCACAATTTATATTCAGTTGGTCAGAAGTAGGTGACAACCTACTACTTGCAACCAGTGCTTGCTGTGGGGGAAGTGTTACAGAACAGAGCCATTACATTAACCTGTGAGATCTGATGCTATCTCTAGGTAGATAGTGCTAGAATTGAATTAGAGGACACTCAGCTGGTGTTAGCTGGAGAATATGCCAGAGAAATTAGTTGGTAAATGAGAAAAAAAAAAACCCACCCATCTAGTGGCAGAAGTGTTGAGAGACTGTGTAAGAAAATAGAAAAAAACACTGTGACTTGTTTTTCTTTCTTATATTTTCACAGTAGCATTATTGTAGATGCTGTGAATTATAAAAAATGAAGTATTTGGCAAGGTTCCTACTTGAAGGAGTTTAAAAGAACTAACGAAGCTGGGCTCGGTGGCTCAGCCTGTAATCCCGTGCCTTTGGGAGGCTGAGGTGAGTGGATTGCCTGAGCCTGCGGGTTCGAGACCCACCTGGGCAACTTGGCAAGACCTCATCTCTACAATAAATCAAAAAATTAGCCGGGCGTGGTAGCATGCGCCTGTAGTTTCAGCTACTCGGAAGGCTGAGGAGGAAGGATTGCCAGAGCCCAGCAGGTTGAAGCTGTGGTGGCCGGGAGCGGCCACTGCACTCCAGTCTGGGCGACAGAGTGAGGCTCCAACTCAAAAAAAATAAAAAATAAAAAATAAAAGAACTAACGAGAAAAAGTTTGGGAGCTATGGCTAATATACATGAAATAATTAGAAAATAAGTAGTCATTAACTATCCAGTTCTCATTAAAACTAGAGTAGGAGTTCAGAGTTATCCATAGGGAATTAAGTGTCATGTAAGAATTTATAGAGCTGGGACCTGGAGGCAGTATTATGAGGAATCTGAATCGAAGAAGTGGGAGTAAAAGAAATCACAATCAGTGACCACATTATAACATTAGCTTGGCATAAAGTAACAAGTCTGACAATACTACGGAATGTTGAGGCTATGGAGCAACGGGGACTCTTATTACAGAGTATAAATTAGTACAACTATTTTGAGAAACAATTAGTCACCAACTTGTACAGCTGAAGAAGCAAACACCCTAGTAATTCCACTCTTAGGTATAAACTCAAGGAAAACTCTTGCATATGTGTACCAAGAAACAAGTACAAACATAAGCACAGTATCATTCATTGTTTGTAATAGCAAAACGATGGAAACAAATGTTTACTGATAGGAGAGTGAACAAATTATGGTCAGAGTACAATTCATATGATATAATAAATGAATCAACTGTAGCTGCAACTATAGCTACTCAGTGTCAATATGAATGACACAGAAACATAATGGTGAAGGAAAAACTAAAGTCACAGAAGAAGACAAATCATGACTCCTTTTATATAAACACCTAAACGTTTGCATAAATTTTTAAAAGGCAGGAAACACATCAATAGGTTTCAAAGGAATCACATGAGAATGACATAACCATAAAAAAGGGCAAAAGAGAGAACCACAAAATTCTGCATTGTGGTTACCTTAGGGATGGGAGAAGAGGATGGCACTGAGGAGGGACACATAGGGCTTGTTAGAGTTCCTAGTAAGACTCTATTTCCTAAGGTGGGTGGTCAATCACATGTATTTATTTTATTATTATTTTTTAATCCAAGTATATATTATGTATGGATGTGTGCATGTGTTGTGTGTATAAAACACATGGATTCACGTGCATGATAATACTACTTAACTTTTAAAAAAGACAGACAACAGGAACTTCCAGACGGGAATATTAAAAGGGATGAACATAATAAAAACTTGAAGGCTTTAGCCTGTCCTATTTGGAGGGAAATAGGAAAACAAAGATTTTTCTTAAGAGGGATGTACTATAGCTACTAGCAGGAAAATTAAAATATGATATATACTTACTTGCTTTTTGGTGGCAGGGTATTTAATATCAAGAATTAATTCCTTTATTTCTGTTTCGACCAAATCTATAAAGAAAAAATTAATCAAAGTAAAATTTTCACTTTTATAACAGTGAAATATTATTCTGAAAGAAAATGAATAAATTTGTACCATCAGTCAGTCTAAAGGGTTTTGCACTCTCTCACATTATTGTTTTACCATTATGAATTTTAATATTCTCTGGATGGCACACTTCATCCTTACATAGTAATTCCAATAAGAAGTACAAGTGAGTACTTGTACCTCACCTCATTCTGAAAGGAATTAAGACAGCTCATCAACGCATTTAAGTACATTGCTCCATTCAGAGTATTTTACTGATTTTTAAAATGACAGAACTATATACTTTATTATTTGAACTAAAGAATACTTACCAAGATTGGGAGATTTTGTTTTCAGTAAGGCTGCTAGTTTCTTCACTAGGTGCATATCCTTGGCTCGTTCACTCTTCTTATCACTAAAACAACAAATACAATAAATTCTTTTGGAATGTGAAATTGTTTTCTTTCTGACATACTTCAACTTTCTTTTTCCTTTATATGTTTCCTATCTAACTTAAAAAATATCAACCTGATGCTAAAATAAACAATTATACAATAACTGAAAAGAAAGCACAGCAAACTAAGGAACTAGGAAAAGTTAGAGAAACATCAATCAGCAGGCACAACATCAATCAATAAATCTTACCTCAGTGCTAAATGGAAGGGAACATTCACTGTTTTCACACTTCCAGACACTGGATCAACAAGACATATCTGGTGAGTCTGTGGCTGCCAACTCTGACTAGTAACATTATTTAAGCCCATTATTTTATAGCCAGGATATAGTAGCCTATGGAAATCACATATCAATATGGTAAAAATATCAGAAAACAAAGAAACGACCAAAAATGCTTTTATTATAGTTAGGAAACCTGACATGATTATCAATTCAGGAGCATTAATAAGGCAAATAAATACTGATACCAAAAGCATAAGTGAGCAGGACTCTACTGGCAGAGCTGTGCCTTGATAAAAGGGTCTACAAAGTTAAATGAACACAATTAGGTCTATGTTTCAGTGGCAAACAAAGCATTCACTGCACTTATTATCACTAGAGAAATCTGAAGAAGCCTCTCCTTTTGAGCCTTCACAGAATAAGTAAGGGGCAAACAGCAGCACCAAGCTAACTTTAACTCAGCGCATATCATGGCATTTTCAATGTTTATTTGTTATTAAATACTTAATCCTTAACTATATGTCAAGCACTCACAGAAAAACCATAATAAAGAATATTACAATTCTCAAACAACTTGCAGTCTAACAAACAGCTTTAGTAAAAATTTAGTTTAATAAAAACATTCCTGTATTTTAAAATGCCAGGGTTTGTAGCTTACCTGCAGTGTTTCCCCACATTAAAAGCTCCTACTCTAGGTCCCTGTTGTGTGCTCCATACTTCTAAAATTCCTCTTCTTGGCGCATAGATGACAAGGAACTGAGCTACTCGACTTGGACCCTGAGTATTTCCAAAAGGGGAAAAATCCACCTTTTCTGGTACTCTTTCATGGAGGTCCTCTACAATTTGAATCCATCCAATCTGTGCATCTCGGTAACCTCAGAGACAGAGGAAAAAGGAAGTTAATTATTTAAATTAATCTAGATTTAGTAACAGCCCCCTAAAATACTCTGGAATATGGGTGGGAAGAGAACAGCTATAAAAGTACCATTATGAAGTATCTTAAACAGAAACGATAAAATAAATAAGCAATCTATCACTAAGCCTAATCAAATCTTAGTATTTTGCTATATTTGTTTCAGATCACTTTTTCTTTTTTTTTTTTTGAGTTAGGGGTCACCCAGGCTGTGTAGTTCAGCGGCACACTCATGGCTCACCAAGCCCTGACCTCCTGGACTCAGGCAATCCTTCAGCCTCCTCCTGAGTAGTTGAGACTACAGGCACACACCACCATGCCCAACTTATTTATATTATTGTTTTTGTAGAGACAAGATGTCACTATGTTGCCCAGGCTGGCCTTGAACTCCTGAGTTTAAGCAATCCTTCCACTTCAGCCTCCCAAAAAGTGCTGGAATTACAGGCATGAGCCAATTGCACCTGATCACCTTTTCTCATTAAAAAGAAAATATTATTGATATCACTGAAGCCACCTGATTACCCCTCATGCTCCATTCCCTTCCCTCCCTGTCTTTAAAAGATTCCCTTTTTGGCTAGGCGTAGTGGTTCATTCCTGTAATCCCAGTACTTTGGGAGGCCAAGACAGAAAGATTGTTTGAGGCAAGGAGTTTGAGACCAGCCTGGGAAACATAGTGAGACCTCATCTCTATAAAAAAAAATAAAAATTAAAAAAAATTAACAGAAAGTGGTGGCATGCATGTGTAGTCCCAGATACTCAGGAGGCTGAAGGGGAAAGATCACCTGAGTCCAAGAGGTTGAGGCTGCAGTGAGCCGTGATCGTGTCACTGCACTACAGCCTGGATGACAGAGTGAGGCTCCAACTCAAAAAACAAACAAACAAAACAAAATGAAAAAGCTGGATGTGGTGACTACGCCTATAATCCTAACACTTTGGGAGGCCAAGGTGGACAGATTGCTTGAGCCCAGGAGTTCATGACCAGCCTGGGCAACATAGTGAAACTTTGTCTCTACAATCAATAAAAATAAAATAATAAAATAAAATAAAATAATAAAAAATTAGCTAGGCATGGTGGTGCATGCCTGTACTCAGGATGTTGAGTTAGAAGCATCACCTGAGCCCAGAAATTTGAGGCTGCTGTGAGCTGTGATTGTGGTGATCATGCCACTGCACTCCAGTCTGGACAACAGAGTGAGACTCTGACTCAAAAAACAAAAATACAAAAAATTCCTTCAGTTAAAAAATGCTGGTAAGATTATCCGCTTTGCATTTAAAATAAAAGCCCAATTAAAACATAAGAAAGGGCTCGGTGGCTCAGCCTGTAATCCCGCGTCTTTGGGAGGCTGAGGTGAATGGATTGCCTGAGCCTGCGGGTTCGAGATCCGCCTGGGCAACTTGGCAAGACCTCATCTCTACGATAAATCAAAAATCAGCCGGGCGTGGTAGCGTGCACCTGTAGTTCCAGCTACTTGGAAGGGCTGAGGCGGAAGGATCGCCAGAGCCCAGTAGGTCGAGGCTGCAGTGGCCAGGAGCGGCCACTGCACTCCAGTCTGGGCGACAGAGTGAGACTCCAACTCAAAAACAAAACAAACAAAACAAAAAAAAACATAAGAAAGAAAATCAAACTGATTTCCAGCCATTCAAGCCTTTTGGTGGTATGTAGATAGGAAACATGGGCTGCTGAATAATGGGAAGAAGCTCCTACATGTAAGAAGAAAGAAGTAGCTATGCTATCTTCTGTTTTCAGGTAGCCTCTCTCAAAGGCAATTGATTCCTCATCCCAGTACATAATGGAAAGGAAAACAAACTTCACCAGTTGCAGAAAAACAGGTAACAATGCAAACAATAAGAGTACCACAGTGGACCTGGCAAAGTTGGCACAGTTAAGCCTTCTGCATTTTGGAAAAGTCTTGCTGAGGACACACCTTTGATATTGTTTCAGAAGATAAACACCAAGGAGAAATTATGTATCTGCAACACCAAAACTATTTCTGTAGATAATTAAACGTAACAGGTAAAAATGGCCTCTTCCTATCACTGCAGGAAGTCTTTGGTAAGAAGGTCACACTGGCTTCAGTCTGGTCCAAAAAAAAGTCCTAAAATTCACTATTCCTCACATTTTAAAGTACAGATAAGATTATGACATTAAACGGTGGTTTCCATTCATGTTGACATGCTACTAATACAGATGATTCTAAACAATGCATTCTTCCCTTCTTCTTTAGCCAGGGATATTTTATTTTATTCAGGTTGACAATGTGCCTACTTAGATATTTTCGGAGACTTCCAGCAAGATGGCGATAGGGCAACCTGGTCTATTAAACCCTCTGCAAAGGAGAACGCAGAGGGTCTCTGGCTTTCTCCCGGAGGGCTGCAGACCCCAACATCGCAGCCTGCTCTTCACATGGAGCTCGGCTGTTGCCACCACTGGGCCATCGCAGCAGTCTGGACAGCCACTGCAGTGCAGACACAGTAGCTGCCGGTGGCGCTGCCACCACGGCCTCCATGGTGGCCATAGCACAACCCACCACCTGTGCCTAAGGCGATCCACGACTTCAGTCCTTGAAGCCCCTGCAGACAAGATCTGCTGGGATCGCTGCCACCTCTCCTGTGACCGTGATGTCCTGCCTGCCATGGGTCTCCTCCCGTGTGCCCTGAGGCAGGCTTCCATCTCCGGCCTCTACCCGGTTCCTGTCCGGCCCCACCTCCTCTGGGGCGAGTAGCTGAGATAGCACCACCTGCTGTCAATTCAAGGTAACAACACCGAAATGGGAGAAACAAGCTTGAAAAACAGACACAGGCCAGAGTGGTGAACCTCCGGAGGCTGATCTGAACTGTCTTTCACAGCAGGCCAGGGGCAACTGACCCTAACTGCGAGCTAATTTACCAGCTTGGAAAGAAAGCTAGAAATCAGAGCTGAAAGGACATTGGACTTAAACGAAAAGTCTCAGAGTATGCTTGATTGGTTATGTTAGTTTAATGACTTAATTCTATTCCTACTGTATTGTTCCTTTTTTTCCTCTTCCTTTTCCTCTCTCTGTAAACTATATCTTTGTATAGAACAGCACACCAATAAGGTGGTTGGTTAGCTTGTATGTTAACATCATTGTATGTTTTATTTTTTTTGTATGGGAGTTGGTTAGTCTGTAGCTGTGGTCTAT